ATACAAAATCATCCTTGTTTTTTCATGGTTTTCTTCCTAGGGGGAGAACCCATTGTACTCCCAGACAGAAAAAATTACCAGATCAGTCAGCCCAGTGGAAGTTGAATATTCATCTCACTTTCAATGTGTTCTTGGAGAATCTTCAAAAAGTGGCTTCCAAGGATGATGACCTCTTTGAAGAGATGGGCAGTGGCTCTAATTCTGGAAAGTACATTCATAGGCACTATAAAAAATGTAGTTTGGGATGTCTAACCACCTTTTGCTCCACCACCCACAGATTTTGCTTAAGAGGTGGGTCCAGAAAACCATAGTTAAGACTATGCAAGCCCAACTCTTTGTATTAAACTAAGGGTAGACTCTGAACCAGATTCTTTCTCAAGAGAATTGAAAACTATGATACTGAAAGAAAAAATTTAAAAGGTGATTGTAGATACTCATAAAATTCAAATAATAAACAATTATAAGGCACCTAAAATATGCCAGGAACCGAGGACATGGCAATGAACAAAGTAGTGACCTCTGCCGTGGTGGCACTGACCAAGAGATAAAACAGAAAAATATTCAGCAGAGCCAGAGTCAACTCCACAGCAAGCCAAAGTTACATGTAAGTTAAAGTCATCGAGGTACAGAAAAGTATGGAATAAATAGATAAAATATTTCCAACTAGGGAAGCAGGAAGATGACACCGATGAAAAAGTAGTGACATGTATTTCAACAAAAAACAAAAAGAATAACCTGAGAGTATGACCATACTTTTCCAAGTTCCATGTGCCTGCATTAGATTTAGTGCCTAGTCCTTGGAGAGCTGTGGTATTTTTCACCAGAGTTCTCTTAAACTATTTTTATACTCAAGCTACCTTGAGTAGATTTCTGTTTCTTTCAACTAAGCATGCTTATATGTACTTGCGTACACACTAAGCAGAAGAGCCTAATCTGTGTGAAAAATGCCATGTCCAGGGACTCATTCATTAATTCAACAAACCTTTACCCATTGCCCACAGTGTGGGAAGCTCTGTACTCTTATTGGGAAATCATAGTTGAACAAGACCCAGCCTCTTCCACAAGAACCTCATTGTCTCATGTGGAGGTCATTGTGTTAGCTGACATATGTTCAGTTTTACAGTTCAAATGATATGCCCTATAAAAGAGGCATATGTTTGAAACCCTAAAGAGGGGCATTTGACTATCTTGGGAGTTAGGAAAGGCTTCACAAAAGAGTTACCTTTTTAAGCTGAGCAAAAAAAGGTGAAGAAGAGCCATTCAGGTGAATAGACAAGCATTACAAGTAAAGCAAACAGCAAGTGCCAGGAAAGTGAGATATGAGAACATGGCATATTTGAGGAAAGCCTGATATTTAGGTATGAATGGTTTACACAATATGAGTGGAAGGTGAAGAGTAGAGTGGGGAGTACGGGGGTTGAGAAAAGTACCAAAGGACTGGTTAAAAATGGAACTAGAAAGACAGCAGAGACAGATTTTCAATAGTCACATAGTTTAGTTAAGAACAGGAATTAATCTTTTTCACACTCCAACAGTGCTATGGTTAATACTATCTACACTTTCTTTTATTTATTTATCTATCTATTTATTTATTTATTTATTTTTGAGACGGCATCTTACTCTGTCGTCTGGGCTGGAGTGCAGTGGCACAATCTGGGCTCACTGCAGGCTCTGCCTCCCGGGTTCACGCCATTCTCCTGCCTCAGCCTCCTGAGTAGCTGGGATTACAGGAGCCTGCCACCACGCCTGGCTAATTTTTTGTATTTTTAGTAGAGATGGGGTTTCACCGTGTTAGCCAGGATTGTCTCGATCTCCTGACCTCATGATCTGCCCACCTCGGCCTCCCAAAGTGCTGGAATTACAGGCATGAGCCACCACACCGGCCTACACTTTCTTATTAAACCTCATGGAAAACTTCAAGATAGAAACTGTTCTAATTGTACAACAATTTTAGGATGAGTAAACTGAGGGTCTGAGAAGTTTGGCTTGTTCAAAGTCCCACCATGAACAATGGCAGAACTCAGATTCTTGGGTTGGAGCCTATGTTCTTGCCATTGTATCACACTGCCACCCAGGATGGGGAACAGTAGTTTGGGCTCTGTCCCATGTACAGTTTGGGGCCACTGACGGATTTTAGGCAGGGAGTAATATGATACAATATGATATGATGATTTGCACTCATGGTAGCAACCCAGAGGTTGAATCAGGGAGAAGAGCTGAGAATAGAGATAGGAAAACTACTTAACAGGATAATGCAAGAAAATCAGGTAAGAGTTGATGAAGTCCTAGATTAAGGAAATGGCAGTGGGCATGAAGAAGGGACAAAGGGCATGTTGAAGGCATATGCAAGAGAGTGATTATATTGCCTAGGTTTTCTTCTATGGTTTTTATGGTTTTAGGTCTTATCTTTAAGTCTTTAATCCATCTTGAGTTAATTTTTGTTTAAGGTGTAAGGAAGGGGTCCAGTTTCAGTTTTCTGCATATGGCTAGCCAGTTTTCCCAGCACCGTTAAATAGCAAATCCTTTCCCCATTGCTTGTTTTTGTCAGGTTTGTCAAAGATCAGATGGTTGTAGATGTGTGGCATTTTTTCTAAGGCCTCTGTTCTGTTCCATTGGTCTATATATCTGTTTTCATACCAGTACCATACTGTTTTGGTTACTCTAGCCTTGTAGTGTAGTTTGAAGTCAGGTAGCGTGATGCCTCCAGCTTTGTTCTTTTTACTTAGGATTGTCTTGGCTATGCGGGCTCTTTTTTGGTTACATATGAAATTTAAAGTATTTTTTTCTAATTCTGTGAAGAAAGTCAATGGTAGCTTGTTGGGGATAGCATTGAATCTATAAATTACTTTGGACAGTATGACCATTTTCATGATTTTGATTCTTCCTCTCCATGAGCATGGAATGTTTTTCTATTTGTGTCCTCTCTGATTTCCTTGAGCAGTGGTTTGTAATTCTCCTTGAAGAGGTTCTTCACATCCCTTGTAAGTTGTATTCCTAGGTATTTTATTCTCTTTGTAGCAATTGTGAATGAGAGTTCACTCATGATTTGGCTGTTTGTGTATTATTGGTATATAGGAATGCTTGTGATTTTTGCACATTGATTCTGTATCCTGAGACTTTGCTGAAGTTGCTTATCAGCTTAAGGAGATTTTGGGCTGGGACGATGGGGTTTTCTAAATATACAATCATGTCATCTGCAAACAGAGATAATTTGACTTCCTCTCTTCCTGTTTGAATATCCTTTATTTCTTTCACTTGCCTGATTGCCCTGGCCAGAACTTCCAATACTAGTTAAATAGGAGTGGTGAGAGAGGGCATCCTTGTCTTGTGCTGGTTTTCAAAGTGAAGGCTTCCACCTTTTGCCCATTCAGTATGATATTGGCTGTGGCTTTGTCATAAATAGCTGTTATTATTAAGAGAGATGGTCCATCAATACCTAGTTTATTGAGATTATAGTGATAAATCAAGGAATTTAAGAAAATGAGGCCATTAAAGAGTGAAGAGGTATAAAGTTGGTCAGGTCAAGGAATAGGAAGGAACATAAATGGGATCTTTAAATTGTAGACCCAATGCCTACCTTTCATTTTCTGATATGATCCATTTTTCTCCAACTTTGACACAGTCCACCACAGGACTAAATGGGGAGAGAGGCTTTCACAGAGTTCTGTCTTCTTGGTAAAACCTACTCCATGCCACAGTGATTTCTAGGTGGCACTGAGAGCCAGCTTGAGATTCGTGGCCATAATTATAACATGAGACCACTCATCATAGTTGTAAGTTTTATCAGCTACATTTAGCAGTTCATGTACAGGAAGGCATGGAATAGATGGAGAGTTGGATTTAACCAGGATATGTATGTATACATGATGAAAGATAAAAGAGGGAAGAGAGTTAAGAGTTAAAAAAATCACACCAATGATTTTTTAAATCATTTTAAACTGTCTAAGATACTAGTCTCTCAAATGTACCCTACCTTCCTGTTAATAGAAAGTCATCCTCATCTCTTCTACTCTCACTCCAAACTCTGTACACTCCCTAATCTCACCTCTTCTCTTCAGTTAACTTCCACTGTGCTCTCTGGATCTCACGATCAGTTCTTAGCAAAATCCCATATAATCTCAACCACTTCTCAAGAGTCCACTTTGCCTTTCAGTTCTAACCACAGTGTAGCTGACCCTGAGGACATGGTTTCCCCTGCAGCCTTCTCTAGCAGTGGCCATCTCATTTCCCACCCCCCATGCTCCTGGGCATGGAAGGTGGAAGTAAGGAAGGTGCTCCCTTGTGATATCCTGAACACTATTCCTCCATCCTCTCTAATGATCTCTGGCTCCTTTGAAGCCAGAACCATGGGACTCTTAGTACCCACTACCCATCCTCATTGCAGTTTATTTTTCTTGTTACTTCCCCTCATTCATTTCCATTAAGTGATTACAGAGGGAATGCAGTTACTAATAAAATTAGGTTCCCGGGCATAGTATTCCTTCTATAATCTCAACATTAGGCATCACCCAATCATACTTGCTCTAGTCTCTTTCCGTAATGAATTGTCAAACCTACTTAGACTTTTAACCTTTAGACCTGACCAACTTTTCACTTTCTAGCATCCCTCAAAGGCCTCTTTTCATTCACTGACTGAATTATATTCCATGGTCCATTACTATAATCACTCCTTTGTGTATATTCTCAACTCTCTTCCCTCTTTTATCTTTCACCATGTATATACACACATCTTGGTTAAATCCAACTCTTTGTCTATTCCATGCCTACCTATACATGAACTGCTAAATGTAGCTGATAAAACTTAACAACTATGCTGACTGGTCTCATGTTATAATTATAGCCACTGAAGCGGGCTCTCAGTGCTACCCACAAATCTACTATGTTTATCTAGTTAACCAACACTCTTAACTCTTATTCTCAAAAGACTATTTCATAGATTATTTTCCCAACTGTTCCATTTTCTTACTTTTAGCCAAAGACTTTCCTTCTGTTTCACCTAGGAAATCAAGAAGAAGAAGAAGCCAATCAGAAGAAAACAGTGGCATCTTCTCACCATGCAACTAACATCCTGCTACTTTTGTCCTTGTGCCCTCTGCATTGCCTCCTATTTCGAAGGATGAAGAGCTCAAGCTCCTGGGTAAGAACAACCTCTTTGCTCCTGCGATTATCTTCTGTCTCTCCTACATCATCACTTTCTTTCTCCCTCTTTACGGAGTTTTTTTTGTTTTGTTTTTTGTTTTTTTTTTTTTTTTTTTTTTTTTAAGACAGAGTCTTGCTCTGCCACCAGGCTGGAGTGCAGTGGCGCAATCTTGGCTCGCTGCAAGCTCCGTCTCCTGGGTTCAAGTGGTTCTCCTGCCTCAGCCTCCCAAGTAGCTGGAACTACAGGTATGCAGCACCATACCCAGCTAATTTTTACATTTTTGGTAGAGATGGGGTTTCACCATGTTGGCCAGGATGGTCTTGATCTCTTGAACTTGTGATCTGCCCGCCTTGGCCTCCAAAAGTACTAGGATTACAGGCATGAGCCACCGCGCCTGGCCTATGGAGTTATTTTAATCACTATATCAATATGCTGGAATAGCTCCCATCTTAAAAACAAAAACACACCCTCCTGTGACCCCACATTGCTCCCCAGTTATCACTTGTTTTTCAATTTGCCTTTACAGCAAAAGGATTGTTTCTACTCATATCTGATTCTCACTTTTCTTCCTTCCTGGAATTTTCTTCACTCGGCCTTTTGTACCCTTCATGTACTGAACTACTCTTCTTCAGGTTACCAGTTACCTCCATGTCACAAAATTGAAGGTCGAGTCTCAATCTCCACCTTAGTGACTGCTCAACAGCCACAGTTGCCAGTTCCTTCTTTTGTGAAAAACATTCTTCACATGGTTTTGTGAGCCCGCTTTGGTCCTCTTCATACTCTCTGTCTCAGTCTTCTTAGTTGGATCCTCTCTTCTTCCCCCTTTCTGAATATTGGAGTGCTTCACAACTCAGTCCTCAGGCCACTTTTGTAGTTGCACTCACTCCTTGAGTGATCTCATTTCATTTTCTCCCATAGCTGGAAATACCAACTACACAGGTGGACATGTGTATATATTTGTATACCAACTTTCCAGATTCAATCATGGCCTTTCTCTTGAAATCTTGGTGTTTGTTTTCAACTGACTGTTAGATTTCTCTACTTAGACGTCTGATAGGAATGTCACATTTAGGAATGTCTAAAACCAAATTCTTGATTTATTTCTTTCAGATCTGTACTTCTTCCCAGTGTTGTCCTTCTCAGTAAATGGAATCACTGTTCATTTGATTGCTCAGGCCATAAATCTTGCAGTAAATCTTTACTCCTTTCTTCCAATCCATTGTCTGATTCCGTAGGCTCTACCATCAAAACATATTCTGAATATGCCAACTTCTCACCACCTCTGCAACACCAGCTTTGTCCAAGCCACCATTATGTCTTACCTTTACTATTGCAATAGCCACTGCACTGGTCTCCAGGATCCCCCTTTCTTTTTACTTCCTAATCAGTAAGGCCTTCATGATATGTCCCCTGCAACCTCTATAAACTCATCTTTTACTTCATTTCTCTCCTGACTGCATGCCAGCCTCATTGCCTTTCTTGGTAGTCCTGGATCATACAAAGTACACTGCCCTGCCCCTTTACAGCACTTGTACCTGCTCTGTCCTTTGTCTGTGATGTTTGTGGCTTACTCCCTCACTTCATTTAGGTCTCTGCTTAAGTGGCATTCCTTGGACAGGTCTTCCCTAAACTCCACATTCCCATCACCCTTTATCCTCTTACTTGGCTTCATTTTTTCATGCCATTCATCCCACCTGGCATTATACAGGTGTACCTCAGAGATATTATGGGTTCAATTTTAGACCACTGTAATAAAGCAAATATCACAATAAAGCAAGTCACGCACATTTTTTGGTTTTCCAGTGCATATGAAAGTGATGTTTACACTATACTGTAGTCTATTAAGTGTTCAATAGCATTATGTTTGAACAAAGAATGTACATACCTTAATTAAAGAATATGTTATTGCTAGAAAATGCTAATGATCATCTGAGCCATCAGCCAGTTGTTGGAGTCTTTTTGCTGGTAGAGTGTCCTGGTTTGATGTTGATGGCTGCTGACTGATCAGGGTGGTGGTTGCTGAAGGTTGGGGCGGCCTGTGGCAGTGTCTTAGACTAAGACAACAATGACATTGACTGCATCAATGGACTCTTCCTTTCACAAAAGATTTCTCTGTAGCATGTGACTCAATTCGATAGCATTTTACCAATAATAGAACTTCTTTCAAAACTGGAGTCAATCCTCTGAAACCCTGCCACTGCTTTATCAACTAAGTGTATAAAATATTCTAAATGCTTTGCTGTCATTTCAACAACATTCATAGTATCATCACCAGGAGTAGATTCCCTCTCAGGAAACCACTTCCTTCCTCATTCATAAGAAGCAACTCATCATTCATTCAAGTTTTATCATAAGATTGCAGCAATTCAGTCACATCTTCAGGCTCTACTTTTTATTCCAGTTCTCTTCCTATTTCCACTACATATACAATTACTTCCTCCACTGAGGAAAGACATCCTCAAAGACATCCATGAGGGCTGGAATCAACTTCTCCCAAGCTCCTGTTAATGATATTTTGACATCCCCCTATGAATTACAAATGTTCATGATGGCATCTAGGATAGTGTTATTTCTAAATGATTTTCAATTTACTTTGCCCAGATTTGTCAGAGGAATCACTATCTATGGCAGCCTTTACCTTACCAAAATATTTTTTAAATAAGACTTGGAAATCAAAATTACTCCTTGATTCATGGGCTACAGAATGGATGTTGTATTTGCAGGCATAAAAACAATATTAATCTTGTACCTCTCCATCAGAGCTCTTGGGTGAGCAGGTACATTGTAAATCAGCAGTGATATTTTGAAAGAAGTTTTTTTCCGAGCAGTAGGTCTCAACAATGGGCTTAAGATAGTTCATAAACCATGCTGTAAACAAATATGCTGTCATCCAGGCAGGATTGTTCCATTTATAGAGCACTGGCAGAGGAGATTTAGCATAATTCTTAAGGGCCCTAGGATTTTCAGAATGCTAAATGAGTCTTGGCTTCAGTTTAAAGTGACCAGCTATATTAGCCTGTAACAAGAAAGTCAGCTTGTCCTTTGAAGCTTTGAAGCCAGGCATTGACTTGCCCTCCTTAGCTATTAAAGTCCTCAGTGTCATCTTCTTCCAGTAGAAAGTGGTTTCATTGACACTGAAAATCTGTTGTTTAGTATAACCACCCTCATCAGTGATGTTAGCTAGATCTGGATAACTTGCTGCAGCTTCTAAGTCAGCACTTACTGCTTCATCTTGTGCTTTTATATCACGGAGATGGGTTCTTTCCTCCAATCTCATGAACCAACCTATGCTAGCTTTGAACATTTTTCCGTAACTTTTTGACCTCTCTCAGTCTTCATAGAATTAACCAGAGTTAGGCCTTACTCTGGATTAGGCTTTGGCTTCAGGGAATGTTGTGGCTAGTTTGATCTTTCCAGACCATTCAAACTTCCTTCATATCAGTAAGATGGCTGTTTGGCATTTTTATCATTTGTGTGTTTACCGGAGTAGCACTTTTAATGTCTTTCAAGAACTTTTTCTTTGCATTTGTAACTTGGCTAACTGTTTGATGCAAGTGGCCTAGGTTTTAGCCTTTCTCAGCTTTTGACATGCCTTCCTCACTATGCTTAATCATTTCTAGCTTTTGATTTCAAGTGAGAGATGTCTATTTCTTTCACTTGAAAACTTAGAAGCCATTGTAAGGTTAATAATTGGCCTAATTTCAATATTGTTGTATCTCAGGGAATAGGGAGGCCTGAGAAGGGTGAGAGAGATGGGGGAACAGCCAGTTCCATACAGTGACGAGTCAGAACACACATCATTTATTGATGAAGTTTGTTATCTCATATGGGTGCAATTTGTGACACTCCAAAACAATTATAAAAGTGACATCAAAGGTCACATATCACAGATCACCATAACAGACAAAATGACAATGAAAAAGTTTAAAATACTGTGAGAATTATCAGAGACACGAAGTAAGCACGTGCTGTTGGAAAAATAGTGCCAAAAATAGTGCCAGTAGACTTGTTTGACACAGGGTTCTCACAACCCTTCAATTTGTAAAAAAGAAAAAAAAAAGTATCTGCAAAGTGCAATAAAGCAAACCATAACAAAATGAGCTATTGTCTGTATATTTATGAATTATCTCTCTGCTATTAGAATTCAAGCTTTATGAGGGCAGGGACTTTACAGCTTTTGTTCACTCTCATATTCTCAGGACCCAAAACAGTGCCTGACAAATAATAGGTGCTCAGTAAATATTTATTGAATGAATTAGTAAATAAAATTTGCTTGTGAGTTTCAGATGGGATAAAAGCAGGATATAAGACAACTATGAAGTCTTTTCAACACCTTAACATTATGCTTAGAATTTTTAAAAACCTGTATTCTCAAGTACAGTATTTTCACTGGTTTTCCCTAAAACAACATGAACTTTACTAGAAATCTCTTAGGTGTAAGTAGAGAAGATATGACGAAGGTTATAAAGTCACAATAACTATCGATCTTTTAAAAACATACATGAGATCATGTTACTCCCCTGTTAAATCTCTCCAGTGGTTTTTCACTGCACTTTGACTTATATTAAAATTCCTTCTCATGGCACATAATCTGGCTCCAGCTGACTTCCAAACCTCATCTTGTCTTTGTTATTCACCTCCCCACCATCTCAGCAGTCTTCTCTGTGGCCCAACAAGGCATGAGGCTGGTTCCTGCTAAAAGGCCTTAGTACTTACTTAGAACAAGTACTTAGCACTTGTTCTGTCTGCCTGAACACTTTCCGCTCACTTCTCCACACAGCTGGTTTCTTATCATTCAGAGCTCAAAGTCTAAACCCCAAAGTGCCCTCCATGATCAATCTAATAATCATATGGGCTGCTCCCTCCCCACGCCCCAGGAAATGTGCACCTATGACTCTGCTTTTCTTTATTTATCATTAGAAATGACTTTGTTGTTTTTCCATCCTCCACTAGAGTGCTGCAGCCTGCCTCAGAGTGGGCGCTCTGTGAGCGTCTGCTGTGGAATGAGTGACCCCATCGTGTCTGAAGTCTGGCTGTGTCTTCATCAGAAAGCTTCGTCTCCTCTTCCATCAGTCCGCCCGGCTGACCTAGAGCTGGTTGAGGCTGGGGCCTCCCCCGAGTTCCTCAGTGCTTCCCGCACCCCCTGCCCAGTACCTCTCAGGTCGTTACCTTGATGGCCCCCGTGGCTATCTGGATATGGTGCAGCCGTCGCAGGGTGCTCTCTCTGTCAATGAAGTAGGAGGCGGCCAGCTGGTGCAGGGTCTCCAGGGACACGGCCGAGCTGTTCCCACTGCCCCCGATTATAGAGGCACCTCCTGTTGTCTCTGTCTTTCTTCCCAGTTTCCGCTTGTCCACAAAAATGGTCAGGGACTCTTCTCCTATGGTGAACAACACGAGTGTATTGGTGAGGCTCTCTGCTCTCGAATCCCCTACCAATAGGAACATAAACCCTTGGCCAGGGCAGACCCAGCTGAGAGAGAGTGCAGCCCCTGCTGCCAAGCTCCTCCCCCAGCCCTTACCATCTTTAGAAGAAGCTCATCAGAGGGAGCCACAAGCCAGCGGCCTCGCTGCCTGAAAGGCCCTCTTCCAAAGCTCAGTCCCCCTGCCATCAGCTTATTTGCTTAACATCTTCTATTGAACTCTGTCTCAAGCAATTCTCCTCCATAGGGGAGACATAATTCTCTCTCTCAAATTGTTTACGAGGAGTCTTCGTGGCTTTTTCTGCTCCCTCGGGAAGGGCAAAAGCCTTGAAGCTCCATCTCCCTCCTCCCCATCAAACACTCAACACCAGCCTCATGCCGACAGCTGGCCTGAGCCCTGGGAGAGCTTGTTTGGGTCGATTGGACAGTGAGCTAAATGTTATAATAAATCCTGCTTCCTTCTTCCCAGGGCAGAGGGAACTCTGCATCTTCAGAGCTTTTGATCCTGCCCTGGTAGGTTCTAGCCCACATTGCTCCACCCTACCCCCACGCTCCGCCCCACAAGAGGGTGATTCATCAGCCCAGAACCACTGGAGTTGTTTGGACAGTTTCCAATCTTTATCGAGAGGAAGAGGGGTCAGGGACTCCAGGAACTTCGACTTCTTTGCCTGTGAGTCTGACCATTGTAGCCACAGCAAACATTAGAAAGTGGCGAAGCCTCAGGGGTTGGGTGACTCAGCGAAGCGAAAACTGGGAGCGCCCCCTGCTGGCAAGTGCTTGTTAGGAGCCTGTCCACCTCCAACCGCCATACACAACTTCCCCTCCTCAGGAGAGCCTTATAAGCAAATAGAGATGCTCTGGGGTAAATTGAGATGTCAAGAGACTACGCTGTTTTCAAATGCACCAGAAAGACTTCTGAGGCAATAAAAGGCCAGGAGGAACAAAAGACTGTTGGAGCTATACTACATAAGTCTTAATGTTACTTCCAATGGTCTGGCAACCAATTAGCTTAGGATTGTGATGTTGCTTACCTCCAAGGGTGGCAGAAAGTAAGAAATGAGTGCCGTACTTTTTAATCAGGTTTTCTGTAACCTGTTGCAGATTGGGTCTCCTTCCAAGGAGGCGAATGTTCCGGATAAACTCTGGGGCGAGAGGCAATGGCAAACTGAAGAAGTCCTTCCTTTCTAGAGCCAAGTTGTTCACCTTCCAACGGGCAAACTCCCTGGAGGAAAAGCCAAGCGGTAAGGAAAAGCTGACCGCGTTTCAGAGCAAGAGGCATAAAATCTGAAGTAGGTAATGTTCTTCCTCCACTTGCAGCCACTCATCTCCTCTCAGCCCACATCCCCCCTCCCGGCCTCCACCCGCTGGAGGTGCCCAGTGTCTGGCAGAGGCCCCTTAGCCTCTCACCTGGCCTGTCATTCACATGCTGTAAGAAAGCTCTGTCTCCACTGACCTCCATCAGAGCCTCTCCCAGCCAACTTTCTCATCAGGCAGTAGTTGATTAGCGTATTCACATGAAGTCATGGTTTACAGTATCGAGTAGGAGAAAAAACACACATCGGAACAGTGGTTTGCAAAGATGTGATCTAATCACAGCTGTCTTATAGTGAATGAGTCACATCACCTGTCATGGCCTCAGTTACTCAACTGTGAAGTCAGGAGGCTTGCTCTAGAACCACTGCCCTCATATTTTGATCTCTGATCCCCTTCACACTGTTAAAAATTATTGAATCCCCATATTTGTATATGTGGCTTAGAGCTATTGAGATTTACCATTTTGGAAATTAAAACCAAGAAAATCAACATTTGTTATTTCATTTAGAGATAACATTAATAAACCCATTACATAAAACCTAACATTTTCATGACAACTGTATGTTATGAAACAAAACAAATTTAGCAAGAAGAGTGGCATGACTTTGCATGTTTGCAAATCTCTTTAATATCAGGCTTAGCAGAAAAGAGCTGCACTCTCATATTTGCTTCTACATTCAATCTGTTTTCATAATTGTGGATTTTCATCTTTGGTACTACGCTAAACTAAACAGATGGTAGTTTCTTAAAGGTTAGTTACAATATGGAATCTGAAATCATATCAGTGAACTTTTCATGCTTTGTTACATTAAATCCAGTGTTCCATATTGTAATCTGAATGGATCTTTCTATCCTGCATAATGTTGTAACATCATGTGTTGGTCATCTGGAAAATATCAGGTCACCGAGTTATGCAGATCTTCCACGTTTTGACACTTTTCATTATGTAATATTAAAACATCTCACTATGTAATATCATGACCAATCTCTTCAAAGTCTTTAAATATTAGGACAATGTCAAGTTCATGAGGATGAATGCAAGTTTTCTAAAATTTGAATTTTCATTTAAAAGTTTAAATTGTATTATTGGTAACAAATACTGTCAGGTGTTTTTCCTTGCAGACGCTGGCTTAGTTAATTCATTTGGTTTTTTTTTTTTTTTTTTTTTTTTTTGGAGAAACGTCTGCCAGACACTCAAGTCTGAATAATCATAGTTTGCCTGTCGCTTGTGCTTTCAAGAAAAATGGAGTTCCATGAAAAAGTGGCTAATTCAGCTTGCAACTCAACCACAAAAGTATTTTTCCTTGAGACAATTATAGTACTTAAGTAGCCTGAGATTTGCTTTATGTGCACTTCCCATTTCATCTTACAGAATATTAAAAACACATGTACCCAAGGGTCAAGATTTAATAAAATTAATAAATGTCTCTGTGTGTGTAGCGTGCACGCGTGTGTGTGTATGTGTGCGCGCATGTGTGGTTGTGTGTTTAGGTGCAAGTGTGTAATGAAGAATACATGACTCCTAGTGTTATGTGGTGTCACTGCCTTTATTCAAATTAAGGTACCAGCAGTTTTATTTTGTACCTTCAGTGCAAATGTCAACATGAACACTCTGAAATAGACTAAGAGGATCCATATTTTAAGAAGCCTTATTTTAGAAGATTGCAAAGTTGTTCGTTTCTAATCCTGTTGAAGATTTTAATTTTCAAGCTTTGCTCCTCATTGGAATGTTTGCATTTTAAAGGGGACAGGTTTATAAATCTTTGCCTTGGAATGAAATTTAAAGAATCATATCCATCAATGAGAAATGAGTTTTACATTGTCCCCCAAATTGTACTGGTAAGAACAGCTCCACTGCCTTAGGAAGCAACAAAATGTAAAGTGTTTACACCCTCTTCACCCATCCCAAATCTGCTCATCGTAACAGTGCCAAACCTTGGTCTAACCGTCCCCAAATGTCCATGACATGCAAATGATAGGGTTGCATAAAAATAAAATAATTAAAAATAAATAAATAGATTTTTGACAAAGATGCCAGGAACACACATTTGGGAAAGGAGAATATCTTTAATAAATGGTGCTGAAAAAACATAACATCCACATGCAGAAGAATAAAGCTTATCTTTCACCATGTACAAAAATCAGCTCAAAATGAATGAAATACTTAAATGTAAGACTCAAAACTATAAAACTAATAGAATAAAGTATAGGGGAAAAGCTTTATGACATTGATGTGGGCAAGATTTTTTGGATAAGAACTCAAAAGCACAGGCAACAAAAGCAAAAATAAACAAATGGGATGACATCAAACTGAAAAGCTCCTGCATAGTAAAGGAAACAACAGAGCGAGGAGACAACCTACAGAACTGAAGAAAATATTTGCAAACTATGAGTCCAGTAAAGGGTTAATATCCAGACTATGTGAAGAACTCAAATAACTTAATAGCAAAAAGAACAATTTTTTTTTAAATGGGCAAAAGAGTTGAATAGACATTTCTCAAACGAATACATAAAAATGGCCAGCAGGTGTATGATAAAATGCTCAACATCACTATCATCAGGGAAATACAAATCAAATGCACAGTGAGATGTCACCTCACCCTCGTTAGAATGGCTGTTATCAAAAAGCCAGAAAATAACAAATGCTGGCCAGGATGCAAAGAAAGGGGAACTCTAATACACTGTTGGTGGGAGTGTAAATTAGTGCAGTCATTATGAAAACAGCATGAAGATTCCTCAGAAAACTAAAAATAGAACTACCATATGATCTAGCAATCTCACTACTAGGTACATATTCAAAGGAACTGAAATTAGTATATCAAAGAGATATCTGCACCCTCATGTTTATTGCAGCACCATTCAAAACGACCAAAATATGGAATCCACCTAAATTTCCACAAACTGATGATACACACAATGAAATACTATTCAGCTGGGAAAAGAATGAAATCCTATCATTTGCAGCAACATGGATGAACCTGGAGGACATAATGTTAAGTGAAATAAGCCAGGCATAGAAAGACAAATACCACATAACCTCACTCATATGTAGAGTCTAAAAAAGTTGATATCATGGAATTAGAGAGTAGAATAGTGGTTACCAGAGGCTAGGAAGGGTAGTAGGAAAGGGAAACGGGGAGAACTTGGTTAACAGATACAAAGTTACAGTTAGGAAGAATAAGTTCTGTGCTCTATTACATAGTAGGGTGACCATGGCTAATAATAATGTACTGTAGATTATAAGTAACTAGAAAAAAGGATCTTGAAAGTTATCACCACAATGAAATGATACATGTTTGAGGTGATGTATATGCTAACTCCCTTGATTTGATCATTATTCAGTGTATGCATGTATTGAAACATCACACCAATACACTGTTGTGCCAGATATGTCAATTATGAACAAAATTTTTTAAATTAAAATTATAAATACATAAATAAATAAAAATCCATGCTACATTTGATGCATAATCCCTCCATCTAACTCTGGAGGCTGACAGGGGAGGAGCATATGTCAAATGCTACTAGGGAAACAAAGAAAAGCGGGTGACTAATAATTCATGGTTCCAACAAGGTCTTCAAAATTCCTGCTGTGTAGCTTTATTTATCTAAGCAGGTAAGTTCATAATCACATATTGTCAGTTATTTCCTTTGTGCAGCAAGTGCTAAACTTTAATTAAGTACAGAGTATTTGTCAAAAGTATTTTCTATCCCAAACCCCACTGCAGGGTAAAGAACAGTTACCTAATCTCGTCTCTAATTGGCTGGATGGAAACTGGAATCCTCTCACTGGTTAGTTGATAATTACATTGATGAATCATAAAATCAGATTACTACAAGCAAACAAACAAACAAAAAACCTTAGGGTCATCAAACCCAGCGCCCTTGCTTCGGGATAGGGCACAGCTAGACTTCATTAACTAATGATTTCTAACCTATTATTTTTCTAGATTGCTAGGGGAAAAAGACATTATTACCTTTTCCATAGTTTCTTACAATGGTCAAAGCCCCTCACAGAAAGGAAAGGCCAACTTAGCATAGAGGTGGGGCCCACTTTAATTAAATATAATAAATAAAAATTGGTAGTCAGTTGTCTGGCCCAGTCAGACACTGGGTCTGGATGGGAATTAGTATTCTCTAGTTTTCTCATGTTTCTTGTAAAACAGAGAGGGCAAGAGGTTTACCTAAAGCAATACAGCCAGTTGATAATAGAACCAGAACAAAAAGCTAGTGTGCTGACCCTCCTTCTATGCTATTAACAGAAACTATGATGGCGGTGACAATAGTCACAACTGAGACTCAGAGAGACTAAGAAAGTAGTGTGGATGAAATCACACGGTTAGTAAATGACAGAGCTGTGCTTAAAACCCAGGCCAATATCGTACTGCTGTTTCTATAGCACTGTTTTCCTTCGAGTAGATGAGGTTAAGTATTAAGTGTATTTTATCAAATTCTAATTTTTTTGTGTTTGGTATCCTTTAACACACATACTTTTATTACCCAGAACATTCCACTTTTTACATTTTCTACATAAAACATGGATTAATTGTATATTCAAAACATAGCATAACGTTTGCACCACAGCAAAATGTTCCTGGATTAATTTTAACATGCAATTTTAACATGCCCATTTGCAGGAGAAGAAATTGAGATGCCTCAAAAAGCCAAGTCCATACAGAAGGTTCATGGGGGGAATCACAGATAAAGGCCTGAGTCCAGCTCCTGTGGCTGCTAAAGAAATCATAACACAGAATAATGAATGACCTAGAAAAAGGAATGATACCGTCTAAGGAAGCTTTTTATGAGCAAATAATAAAAAATAATAGCTAACATTTAATGAATTTTTAGTATGTGATAGGCATTCCAAGCATCTTACAAGGATTAGTTAATATTATATTCAGAACACCATATAAGGGGGAAAATATAATTATCTTCATTTTATAGATGATGAAATTGAGATACAAGTAAGTTAATTTGCCCAGTAGTTTAACTACTAGTTAAGTAGTTTAAGCCAGTAGGTGGCAAGGTCAGGATTTAAACACAGACTGTCTGACTCCAGTACACACAGTCTTTGCCACTAGGCTATACTACTTTCACCTGTGAAACTCTAAGGAACAACTGTGCTATGGAGTAGAAGTGTGTGCATGTGGGGGAGAGAGTTTCAATAGTGCCATATAGGGACTATAAGGATAGGGACTATATTTGGAGAATTTCACTGAAGAAAGAATCCATAAGAATGCATACAAGTGGCAGCTGGGCGCCGTGGCTCACACCTGTAATCCCAGCACTCTGGGAAGCCGAGGCGGGTGGATCACAAGGTCAGGTGTTCGAGACCAGCCTGACCAAGATGGTGAAACCCGGTCTCTACTAAAAATACAAAAATTAGCCGGGCACAGTGGCAGGTGCCTGTAATCCCAGGTACTTGGAAGGCTGAGGCAGGAGAATAGTTTGAACCTGGGAGGCGGAGGTTGCAGTGAGCCGAGATTGTGCCATTGCACTCCAGCCTGGGCAACAGGGCAAGACTCCATCTCAAACAAACAAATAAACAAAAAAAAATACATACAAGTGGCTACATTTGCCAAAGAACAAAAAACAAAAAAGCCCAAATCTACTTTCATCACAAACTGCAGCGGGCTATCAACTCAGAATTAGGCTCAAGTGGGCATGGTGGCTAGTGCCTGTAGTCCCAGTTACTCAGAAGGCTGAGGTGGGAGTATCTTTTGAGCCCAAGAGTTTGAGTCCAGCCTGGGAAACATAGCAAGACCCCTGTCTCAAAAAATATTAGGCATAAGACCTCAGCCACAGGAGTTCGAGTCCAGCCTGGGCAACATAGCAAGACTCCTGTCTCAAAAAAGAAACATTAGGCATAAGTACTCAGCCACAGAAAGGTCCAGACTCTAAGGGCTCCCAGTGGTTTTCTCTTCAGCCCCAACTTCTTCCTTGCCCTTTGGGGCCCTTCATGGAACCAAAATAATGGAGAAACATCTGTGAGTGGTGTTTGAGCCAGAAAGTGGTAAAAATGTGCTTACAGAACTTATTAACCTGGTTCTTTCCAGCATCTGCAAACCTTAGAGGCAATACTGGAAGGCAGCCTGAGCTATTCAAAGAAGAAATGTTCATTTCCGATTTTTCATTTAGCA